GATTTTACTGGTGGCAGTTGTAAATTAGGGGTCTTAGCCCTCCCAGGAAGAGAATTGATAAAGTGACCATTTGACACAAGAACAATATAGGTTACCGTGCAACTGAGAGGCCAAGTATCCGGAGGACATTGACAAGCAGGATCGAGCGGAAATTAGCATCGAATCCGGAAAATGCAGCACTCAATGATGTTACATTCGGCGCCGGTGCCAGCAGTCTCCAAGAATATGCCCGTTAGTACGGTCTTAGAGACCATAAGTAGTGGAGAATAGGGCACCAGACAAGGTCTGGCCGTTGCGGTACACCCAAGCCTGGATTGCCAAGGCCCTTAGAACTGTCGAGACAATGAAGGATGAAGATTGGCCCGGAAAACAAGAGTACACAGGTCAGGTGCCGGGTCAGAAACGCCGGAAGCCGGCCCCACAGGTCTTGGCACAAGCCGCGCGGCACCTCACCTTTTAAATACTGTACCACGCCCGGTGAATTTCGCTTCCTGTATTTACTTCCCTAAATATTTCATCTCCTCGATAGATAACATCCAAATTAATTCTGAATTGGTTATTAATCAGTTATTAACTGCTTATGTTAGCTGTCAGTATGGATTCGGAAGCTTCTTCGATAGGTGTTAGTGAGGTTGAAGAAAGCTCATCAAATATCCATGACATCGAAGAGGTAAGAAATCCAACTAATTTTTAAGTACTTACTAACTACTCTTGAATTACTTAGCAGCCAAGTGCTTTGATTCAACTAACAGATGCAAAATCAAATCCGCTTCAAACACTTTACATTGAGTATACAGATGATCTGCCAGAGTACCCAAGAACTCACCTACACGGGTATACCTACATTGTATCTGTTGTTGGCCGATTGCAGGAAGCAGAGCATATAGTACAAGATGTAAGTATACGAACAGTTATCAAGCAGTTTTCAGCTGGTTACTAACTGATTGGAAGATATAATACTCCTGAGCAAGTATCCGTGGTGCCAGAGCGAGTATTAGATCATCATTTCTGAACTGTTCAGTAAAAAAGTGGATGTAGAGATGTTCTGGAGCTTTAATATGCGAATATTTGAAGCCAAGTCTTTGTACACTATATCATACTTACCTTGACGAAAATGCATGGGAGGAAATCCAGAATATTCGAAAGAATATTGATTTGATTAAAAGGGATGTTCAAAAGCAAAATGCATATAGGTAAGTAATTAAGGACTGCTTTACAACTGCTTTGTAAGTACTTACTAAATAATTTCTTATAAATTAGTCTGTATCAATCCAAGAAAACATTCTTTTAAAAGGGTTTTGCATGTCTTGAACAACTTCCAACCTGTGCGCCACAGTTCAAGAGGCATTTTTATCCTGTAAGATGAATAACTACTTAATAACTGGTTGAACCGCTTTCTAACTGATTCAATAGGATGTGAATGATGAATACCATCCATATATTGGGTGTGTAAATAGAACATCAGACTTCCTCCAAAAACATCACTATAGCTCTGTTAAAGGTCATACTTTAATTAATCTTGACTTTCTAGAGCAGTTATTTAATAATTCAATCCTGCCATCTTAGGAAGAGTGTGCTGTTGTTAAGCCATTAATATCACGCTGAAAGCATGTGGTAAGTAGTTAAGAATTACCTTAAAACCAATTGTTCAGTACTTACAAAATACTTAGATTTTAATCATATTCAGGGACCTGGTAGATTAGAACATCTTAAATGTGATGTTACTTTTACTGCACTGGTACCAGTTGGTATTCAAGATTATCCTTATATTGTTTTTACATCTCATGGAATCCATTAATATCCTCCACCTCCACCACATAAGCCACCTGAGCTTATATTAAGAGGAGTTCAGAATATAATCAGACAGATGAGAAACCTAAGTCTCACTCAAGGTACATGCTAAATATGTTTTAGTTACTTTAAAACTGGTTACTAACTAGTTAATAGCTCAATTTCTGCGAAGTCCGGAACTAGAGGCTTTTTATTCTCAACATAATGCCTCTATACCTGCAGAAATACATGCATCTTTTTCCAATCTGGATTGCATATCTGCTATTATCCAGAAACAACGACTTTTTTCATACCCTGCAGGTCAGGGCTATAATGGGGTTTCATATATATATAATACAAATCTGTTTATTTGGGTGAGTGCTTATAAACCAGTCGTCAAGCATTTGTAAGTCAGTTACTAATTAGTTATAGGAATATATTTAAGAGAAATATCATGATCCGCAGGGAATAATGATTCTCTGTGCGTTCAAAGAGTAAGTCCAGCTCTTAACTCAGTTAACCTCTTTTAAAATTAACATGTCATACAAGCGCATTTGAGAAAAGGAAATAAATGAGGTTATATTTGCAACTTATCTGCGTGAACATGGAAAAAGTAAGTACTTCATGATGATTATTACACCCTGGCGGAGTACTGAGTAGTCATAAAAGTTATCACCCTTTTTTGAGTCTTCACAAATCAAGAAACGACAGATGGCTATTATCTTTTATTCAGAAGAGTATTCTCTCTGATCCAGAAAATCACTGGCGAGCCAGTCAAGTTCAATTCTATACATTCTACTGGAATATACGGAATCGTTGTGGATATGGATACAAAACAGTATACTGGTGAGTGACTGGCTATAAAGTACTTGCAAAGTACTTGCTAACTGCTTAGGCCTCAGACACTTTCTTCAAGAGATTAACCCTCTCCACCGCCCAATTCTCTGGCAATTAAAGGGAATCATTATCTTTTGCCGTGTTCACTTCCTTCAAACAATCACAGAAGCAGTTGGGAACAATAACAAAGGATCAGGAATATGGAGTCAAATGGCTGGTTTGATTGACTGCAAGTCCGAAGGAGATTATAATCAATTATATAATCTATTAATCAGTAAGTACTTCTCAACTGGTTGATAATCAGTTATTAACTGCTTCAGCACACGAAGATCCAAAGGTGCAGACCTGGGCAGAGCATAAAAGGCAACCAGTTATTAAAGCTGGCCTTAATAAATGCTGCTCTAATATCCCTTCCTCTATTTATGATTCTATTCAGAATCATACTAACTCTGCTAAACAGTCTCATCATAAGGCTAATGCAGCAGGCAAATAATTAACATTAGTAACAGCAATTCAGAAGTAAGTAATTGAAAACTAGTTTCTAACCAGTTTTAGGTGCTTCCTAATAACATTCTTATAGTTCTGCAAAGCTTGACAAACAGGACGTTCTTCAATATATAAATCAGACTCGTTTCGGAATTCATCATTCATATCGAACAGCAAATATGGAAGTTAATTATTTGCGCCATACGGCACGGGAGGGTGAGAAAATATATCAGCATTTTAATCATTGTGGCATTCTTCATTAATTATTTCAAATCACTTAGAATCATGGAAGCGTCGTCGCTCATCTTCAGCTTGTTTATCAGTTGATTCTCAACAAGAATTACAACCTCGAAGATCTCGATCCTAATCACGGGTTTCAGGGTAAGCGTAATTCTAATCAGCTATCAACTGGTTATTAACTGGTTCTTCACTAGTTCCGTGTCATCTACCTCTCAAGGTCTTCGTCGGATCTCCTCACAAAATATACTGAACATTGAGCAACAACGACAAGCCTTAGAGCTTCGTGAGCTTGAGCTTCGATTGAAGGACAAAGAAGAAGAAATACGAGAAAAACAGCTGCAAAACCAGGCAAAGCAGCTACAAAACGAAGAAAAAGAGTTGGAACAAAATGCTATAATCAGTTAGAAAGCACTTAAGAAGTAGTTGTTGTTTCTTTCAATATCGTTATGATTTCGTAAATGTTAGATGCCGGGTAATTAAAACCTGGTATTGTTAATGCCGAAAGCGGCAAAATCAGTCATGTGCTTGACTAGGGCGGCGTCTTGGCTTTTCTGACCCGGCACCTGACCTGTAACCTGGGAAAACAAGACTACTGCCAAGCCAAGAGAAGCTAATCCAAACTGTGCCTTAGTGAAGCTTGATCCAGAGCCCCATCAGAGTCTGATTATTGCTCAGGTCTCAGATCAATAATAATAAGTGTCTTTGTCTCCAAAACGGGCCTGGACTAGTCTTCTGGTCTCAATTTCGCGCATCTATTGACGCCAAGCAAATTTTGGCTAGTATTCTTCCCAGTAGTGGTTTGAAAAGGAGTGCCTTAGATCGATGGCGAGTCCCATCTTATCTGTTGCTCCGACCCTAAGAGCTGTTATCTACTATTAGCTTGGGAGTTTGTGGCCTAGTTCTTGGCAATGTCTCAGAGGATACGCACTGAATTTTGCAGTGCATGAGCCATGGGCTGGGAATAGCACCGGGTCAGTCATAGCAGCTTTGGCGATTCGGAGGCTTCTGAACGAATGAAAGTGAACATGAAATTGGTCAATTGGATCTCGTCAGGCTACAGAGGAGAGAAGTCGTACATGATGCATCTTGCAGTGCTTGAGAGCGGACGGCCGTGGATCCTACCTTACTGCTCTCCGATATCTCCGACCAAACAGACCCAGGCATACACCTTTGATTGCTACACTCTCGGTACTAGTGTATAGCGTTGTTTGAAAACCCCTCATGCACTTTTCAAATGGTCGAACGCTAGGATGGTCTCTAGTCCGCCTTGCTTCTAGTTCACTGGAACGTATCCACAGTAGTTGGAAGAATAGGAAATTATCCGAAAAAGGGATATGCCTGTATTGAATGATACATGGAGCATAAGGTATACCTACAGGGATCTTAGTTCGGCGAAACCTCAGTATCTCTCACCAAATTGTTCTCGTTACCTAATGCGATGGTCTTGCTTGGTAAAGAAGAGATCTGGTTCATCATAGACCAGTAAAACTATTGTAGAATTGAAGCGAGATGGTCTTGGTGCATCTCTGCGCCAGTTTGACATCAAGTCTGGTATATAACAGGGTCTATGCTGCTAGATATGGGCATTTCCCCGTCGTTGTCCTTCCAAATTCTATTATCCGTTGCAGTCATTATAACTTCATGAGTAGAATCATCCGGCTACAGTCATGAAATACCTTCTTTTCTTTCTCCTCTCGTCTCTCTTGTTTCTGAGCAAGGCCGTTGTGGCCCTCAAACAATCCAAACCCTCGGAGACGCTCTACTTTTACCAAGCCTATCTGGTCGAATTCAAGACAAGGGATTCCAAACGGCGAATAATTGCAAAACTATGCTCAAAGACTGATACTCCCTGCACATACCCAGCATTTCTGAAGTTTATTTTGTCCAAAGAATCATCGAGAGAAATCTTCGAAAACCCAGAATTCAAAGCAATCAGAACAATCATCGAGACAGCCGATACGACCGATGTCATAACCACATCTCGGAAACTAAGGGAGAAGGATTTTGACCCTGAATATGATCTCTCCAAACTTCTCGAGGGCACAAGCAAAAAATCACAATTTGGTCCTGTCTTCGAAAAGATAGATGGGCAGATCAGGGATCAGCTAGATTCTGACAAGGTCGCGGAGCACAGAAAGCCTATGGCAGAAGGGCTAGATCTCATTCAGCACCACCGCATCGCCGACAACACGGTGAAATATTTTATCCCGGAGCTCGAGAGAGAGTTAGGGATCAAGTTGGAAACTCGGCCAACGAGTACCCCTGATGGTTTCGGATATCAAGCCTATGATACAGAAGCGACAGTCGCGAAACTGAATGAGTTGGCGAAAAACGAGGCCGATCCAGAGAAGAAGGCAAAGGCCATCGCGGACGCTGAAGGTCTGGCACCCAAGATGCAGAAGCTCGTTACGAAGATGCGTTCGCCAGAATATAAAAAGGATGTTAAGGGTAATAAGGCGCTTGATTCCTTTAAGAGGCACCAGGCTGTGATTTTCCGAGCGAAGAACACCTTGAAACTATTAAAAAAATTAGAAACGCCTGGAAAATGCTGAGAGTCTGGATGGCAGTAGATCGGTGTGGCAGTCCCTGTGGAATGCATGTATATAGGAGCCTTTCATTGTTTCTTCTCAGAGTAAATAAGTTTTGACAGATCAGACAAAATATAAGACTTTATGGATTGGCTACTAGCCTACTATATACATGCTGTGCTCATTCACGTGCCAAGGTGTGGTTTTTCTTCAACTTCTTTTCTCCTTCTCTCCTCTCACTTTCTTTCTTTGCATCCAACCAACAGCTCATCAAATGCTGCTAGCATCACAAAATTAACAATTTAAACAAAACTCTGATGGAATGACTAGCATCGCGGATCCAGAGATTAATCTGCAATTGTCCTGTGATTACGAATTCAATTCGTGGATGAGCGAAATGTAATTACAGACGGTTACGGCCATCCACCCGTTGGTTGCCTCGCCTCGTCGGGCTCCACCCGAAGAAAATATTAAATCCCCCCTATCAACCCTCGCGCCTTACATCTTGATAGATTTTCATTGAGTCGCCCCTTGCAAATTTCCTCTCTCAGCTGCTTTCAGCAAAGTGATCTGCATGATGAGTGACGAGGTCGAGTTCAACAATACAGGCGATGGACCCTTGATGGTGCCAGGATTCAATGGAGTTCCCTTTGATGTCATAACATCATCAAACAGAACGTTTGTAGGCTCTGATCTCTGGTATCCGTCGCCTTTCACCACCCGCGAACTGGAAATGCTGAGGCTGATGAACTCCTTAACTGATCGACCAGGCTGGGAGGAGCTGGTCTTTGATGCTTCCACCATGCAGACTTGGCGAAGTGAAGTCATGGCGCAATTTCCATTGATCAGCCCCAAGGCATGGGAATGGTGCGAGGCTGAGCTGCGTGACAAAGCGCAGCGATGGCAGGAGACTGGTCTAATTATGGTTCTGAACGCTGGCAGTGGCGTGTGTAAATCAGACACCATCATTCCTCCTGCAGTGACCGCGGAGATCCAGGACTTCGTCACTTCTGCATTAAACGAGTCTGCCGGGCAGAAGGACTGGCAGCCGAGTTCAAACCAGCAGGTTTGGAACCTGATTGACCCCTCGCTGTACCCGCTGACTCGCGAACGCACGAGAGTGCTGATCAGTGGCGGCAGTGTTCCGCTTGAGCAGACTCTGGACGCTTACGGGCAAGGAGAGGTAGCGCCGCCGCTCCATGATGAAAAAATGGATTGGGAAATTGAAAAATACCTCTACTCACTGCGCTATCAATGGCTGCCTTGTGAGGTTGAATTCTGTGGGCTGGCTGGATCGACAGACGTGCGGATTACTTCCTACATCAATAATCTTCACCCCCGTGAGCAGCGGCCATTCTACAGGACGCTGGAAGGTGTAATATCCAAAGTTGTTGAGCCATGGAATGAGATTCTGATTAGGTTTGGGGACGTGCGGTCACGGGACTCTGTCGGTCGGGAGCCCATGCGAATCCGCACATTCGGGGTCGCGTGGGATAATCGTTATCCTCAATGGGCCGAGGAGCTCCCGACCACGCTGGACGTCGATAGGTCAACTGAAGATTACCAGCGGGCGCTCGCTCGCGTCAAGGAGTACCTCTCTTTACCAGAGTATGGAGTAAAGGTGCAATGGTCGTACAATACAACAAGCGAAATCCCCGCAGACTGGGAGGCAACATTATCCTTGCGTGAAGTTGTGAATATCAAATACAGTCGCATGTTTCGGTTCCGACACTCCGAGCCTGGCACCACCTATTCCTACGAAGACTGGAGGGCAGGACGAACGGCCCGAGCAATCGTTGGTCGTGAGGACTACGACAACCTTGATCCCTCCACGGAACTCTGGCGGAACCGCCTCGAAATCATGGATCCAATGCTCCATAATGAGATGCTCAGAGCAAGAGACGAGATCGATCATCAGTTCCAGACCGTGAAACTCCAGGACGAGTTCCGCGAAAAGGGGCTACAGATTATTGTCAAGCTGGGGGGCATTGAGCTCACTCCTGATAATCTGTCCTTCTTGGGCGAGGACTGGCACGCGGACGGTCTCCTGAACGAGCATATCGTGGGAATAGCCATGTATTGCTTTGATCTTGAAAACGTGACAAATGCCCGCATCTCCTTCGCTCAACAGATTTCCATGCGTGGCGAAGTTTTCTCGTTCGCTGACAATGAGTGGGACATTCCGTACCTGGAAGAATTGTTCGGTGTTCGGGATGAGGGACCAGCGTTTCAAGAACTCGGGTCTGTGTCTATACGTCAAGGGGGTCTCATCACTTTTCCAAACTGCCTACGCCACCGCCTTGAATCGTTTGAATTGGTGGACAAAGCTCGACCTGGACGCTGTCACTTTTTGACCCTGTTGCTCGTTGATCCTTACTACCGCATCTGTTCGACGCGAAATGTGCCCCCACAGCGTCTCGATTGGTGGGAACAGGAAGCACGATCCCATCTATCGTCAGCCCATCCACTTCCCCAAGAATTGGCGGATCAAATCATTGCCGAGACTGGTCCGTGGCTTATGAACTTACCAGAGGCTCAGCACCACCGGCGTGAACGAGCCAAGGACGAGGCGGTGGCTTGTGAGAAGGACACGGAGGAGATTGAGCATAACACTATATGCCTTGTGAAGCGATGATGCTACCTGGACTACATTAGCCATTAATGAACCTAACGAAACTTCACTAATAGAAGTATTGAGAGCCTGTGCACACGTGTGGTCCTTTCCAATCAGAATAGTGAGAAAGGCCACTGACCTGCGCAAAGTATACTCACCTGCTGTGGCACAGAGGCTGAAAGATCCGATAACCTCGGCTTACTGGTCATCACCCATGGACACAGTGCCTGTCAAAGTTAGACTTAAAAAGTCGTAGGCAGTTAGCCAATAAAGAGATTCGGCTCTAGAGGATCCGCAGTGTTCGGGTACTTGGGTTCAGGGGTAGCAGTCGCATTGCTATCTGTCGCCGACCGGAGTGGCTTACCATCTCAACCAGTACTAATGGTTTTGCTTGTCTTGACGGGCGTTTTCGCACTTTTTTCAGAGGTTGCTTCTGGGGTTGATGCAGTCTCACTGGCGAGTGCGGGGGCAACAAGGTATCCCGTTCAATTCGGCAATGGATCTGCTATAGCCCGGGTCTATGGCCTCACTAATGTCATGTCTGCTCTGGGGGTTCGTGATCGGCCCGCTTTTCTCCCGATTTATCTATATCTGTCTGGTTGGACGGCAGACGGGACCGCCCCTTGGGGTGTGATCCGGATATGCTGGTTGGGTGGCTGACTAGCTCGGTATATACTACGACGATTACCGTGACGGAGACTCTGACGACGACGATACCATAGTTCATTCTGGTTCTTCTTCTGGTAATCCTGGCTCAATAGATGATTCTATTTGACGTTCATATGTTCATTCGCATCTGTAGAGTCGGCAGAAATGGCCGCCCCTCTTCGGAATTTGCAACTGCACCCCATGCCAGGCTCCAGGGGAGCACACCGGAGTCGGACATGGGGCTGGGTCTGGGTCTCAACCTTCAAAAACCTTCAAAAGTAGGTGTCACCAGTGGGGGGGGATTGCGCCATTTTGATTTGCTTTTGATCATTATGATTGCATGGTCTCAGGCAGTCGTTCGCTGATGTGGTCTTCTCTTCCGATTATTCATTCAGGAATCGTCTGATAGCACCCTCCGTACCAACAGCGGCTTCCTCCCCATCGCACCGCGTCCCTACATATGCTCGGAGCAAGTGATGCAAGCTGTCTACATTTTCAGTACCTCCGTCAAACACGGAATGTAGCAGCTCCACAATGCTGCAGATGCGCTCTTCAGAACGAGTAAAGCATGCCAATGCGATTGTTAAACATTGGAGGGCCGCTGCACATAAGGATGACCAGCCTGATTTTAGAGCTAATCGGTAGAGGCGAGCATGACTCAGGAATATTTCGTTGCAAACTTCATCCTGGTGTATGTTGGATAGAGTATCATCGCAGGAAACGCCGAGTTCGATGTCTCACCATGAGAATGGCGGAAATTATTGATCCGAACTAGGAGGGTAATTCTGTGCCATGAAACTGCCTGAATATGGCCACATGACTGTTCCTGATGATGACGTCTTCACATAACCAGCGACCATTGCCAAGAATGGTTCAGGCATAAAAAAATCGCCTGTGTATACAAACTCACAGCAGAGCTCAAACGTGAGCTCGTCCATCCAACCCAGAAGCACAAAAGTATTCTTCTCTTTATTTTTAGACGCCTTAATAGATTTCTTAATAGCCAGTGGAAATGCCCGAAGCGCTCCTGAATGAACAAAAAATGGTAAATCACCGTCATCTATATAAATGGTCACCATGTCCGTACGCACAATGCTGGAAATGGGTCACTCAGCATCCATTATTTTGATGAAGAGGCATAACACTTACCTTTCCCAGGTTGCCCCCATTCCGCAGCGTGAAGAAGAAATTATCATTATGGTCTGGGCCTATGATCTAGGGAGATCGAATCGTCTTTTTAAAGGTTTAATACCATACTCTTTACCACGAGGTCGTGTCCTGATGCTGAGTGACCCCGCGCAAATTCCGGCGTGGGTCGGGATCTGAGCACTATTAGACCTAAACTTGGAATGACTGCTTATCTCCAGAGTACCTCTTCGAAAGGACCCCTGACAGCAAATTAATATTTGTTGGAATTGGCTAGATGTAATATCCTAGTTTCATAAGCCACGGTTGAGCCCACCTATTTTCCTTCTGGTAGATCAAGCCAAAGTGTGCTCCGGGGTCCTGAAGCTTCTCTTGGAGCGGAGGGATTGAAAGGTTTGGAAGGCACTTGCTTGATACTCAGTAGTTGCTATATTGAGTCCTATGGTCTGTTACTTAATCACTAATGAACTAACCAACACAGGCTTTGCTTTAGTAGTAAAACTCGCCCCGAAGCAGCTGCTTGTAAATGGCAGGTCCAGTCTAATCCTTCAATGACCACGCAGCAATCCTAGCACGTTGATGTGCTGCACAGTCCTGCTGATGATTCCTTGATAAGTCGAGATGAGAAACTAGCCACTGATTTTCTCTAGATCGCCAGCTCCCACTTTGCTAGTAGATGGATGGCTAGCCTTGTGCGAAACCACATGGAAGCCAGCCTTTATTTCCATCTCATGTTCTCTCTTCACCCTCTCTAGCTTTCCGAACTTATATATTATGGTCAAGCTCAAGGAGACTGCCGTAGACACCCCGGTGACAACAACAGTCAAAACAGCCATTATTGACCATTCCCCATTTTGCGCCGTATACACATTGACGAAAGTGGTGAGTAACCCAGCTATTGCATTTAAGAGGACTGGTCTATCAAACGATTAGCATCTGAATTAACAAGAGATACTGAGACTGACATAAACAACCGGTTTACGAGCCATATGTAATTCTCCTTTCGCTCCCAGGTGAGCCAAGAAATCATTACTGAGCCCAGAACCATCAAAAAGCAAGCAATAGCAAGGAGGGGCGGATTCTGAATCATGCTGAGGATGGCTTTTCCAGTGCGGTTTGTTTCCAGACCTTCCGTGAGAAAGTCAGACTTCTGAAGAGAAGTAAATGTTCCCAGAACAACCAGATATCCAGCAAGTAGTGCCCAGTGCGCAGCGCTAGCTGAGGTGTTATAGAACCATGGAATATAGTCAAGCTCAAGAAGCATGCGCACATAATGAGTCTCAATGACTGAAGCACTTTCAGCCTCGGGCAGGTTTCTTTCAAAATCATCAAATAGCTGTGTGTGACCCATACTGGCCTGTAATGAGTAATAGTGATAGAACCTGTATGCAATTTCTGATCTTCTTATAAGTTGCTGGATAGGGGGACAGTCATGACTCCGAAATAGGCGTGCAGCCTTCTTTATTGTGCGTATTTCACCCAAGGTGACCTATAATATTCTGCTATGGGTACGATATCATAATCTAGAGATTGTTTCTACTGGAAATTATCTAATATCCTCTCCTTGCAAAAGATCTATACACTCTATTGACTCAGTCAATCGTGCTTCTCAGAGTACACATGGCATGATTAAGGGTGTATTAAACAGACTCCAAAGAATCTGTGACTCAGAAACAATGCATGCTCCCCCTCAAATATTCCTATGCCTTCATCCTGCTGTGGGCCAGTATCATCCTTCCTAGGACTCGTCATCGAGCGATCCCGCAGAGGACACTTACTGGACGCAGACACCACGGTCCCAGGCTAATGCGTAGGAAAGGATGCTAATCTTGATAAGTTGGCTGCTAGTGATCAGTTTGAAGTGCTACTCACCTTTAGAAGGTCCACTGCGGTTGCTCTACCAGAGGATCTGGTGAAGTCCTCTGTGAGCAGTCCCATTATCCCACAAATTGCAGATGTCTTGTCCAGTCTTAAGAGTGACTGAGCTATTGAGCAAACAGCCTGAAGGTCCTTGCTCTTCTGCTGTCTCCTTGATTCCCTAATCAGGCTGCTTCTGACGTCGGCTATGAAGTCTGTTAATAACAGGTCATTTTCAATGTATATGTTTCGGATTGTACTGACCTAGTTTGACTACTCCCTCTTGGTTGATTAAGACTGTGGAAGGTGTGACATTCCCATGGCAGATCCCAAGCACTTCGTGCACATACTTCAAAGCTTGCAGGATCTAGGGATGTCAGCATAGTTCCTCTCTGAAAGGACTATCTGAAGTTTATATACCCCTTTTGAGATAGTTGCAATCTCCACCTCGCCCAAGCAAAATTTTGATGATGATTATTGAATCTCCTCTAGCAAGATACCCCAGGTATTATAAAGGAAAAAGACGTTCTGTTTCGCAATGAATACCTCTTTTAAGTTAACCAGATTTGGATGAGATGTTTCTTTGAAGTCCTTAGCCTGTAGGTCCCTTTCTTTGATCTATTCTTGGTAGACATAGGCCAAGTGGGAGCCTTCAGAAAACTTAATAGCACTGACAGGTCCCCAAGTTGGTGACAGGCCGACGAAGAAGTGGTTCAGCTGGTCATAAGGGGACCCAGACTTCACGAAATCCAACTGAATGTCTAGAGTTTGGGGTAGTGTCATATGCCGCGGGACTCCTCAAACTGGCAATTCAATTGGAGATCCCAACTTAGGAGTCACTACTATTTTCGCAATATCACTGAGATTCACGGAATTATTTCTGACTTCACTTTGACAAGAAATTGAAGGTTGTTCTTAACAGCACGATTAGACCCCGTACATCGCGCCTATTTTTATCTAATGCTGGACGTACCGCGCCGCTTTTGAGTCGTGTGGGGAGCCAAAACTGGCGTGGCACCTTGGGTCTAAGACGGCCCAAGTACCCATCGACCCGCTGCGGCTTCGACCCTCTGATTCTGTTCATCACTACCAGTCTTGAAACCTCCGAAGGCTCTTCATTCCCTGCCAAAGACCCGCGGACGTGATCCGCAGGTGTTTCCATACATTTATCTAGTAGCACAGGCATGAGTATTTCCACACTCGTTGAAAATTTTAGAACAATGTGTATACGTAGTAAGATAGGACATTAAATTGCCCTCCATGCCCAACACAGCAAATTCATTTCAGCGCTAATGAAGAGAATCTCATGAAACTGTCTACATGCTGTACTCGCTGGGAATATCCGCTATGTTTAAATCCTTTTCTGTTTCCATAATTTTGAGCATATTCCTGCGGTTTTATATCTGCAGCTACACATTGCAAGGATTCAGTATGGGAACTATCGCAATGAGTATCCCCCCGGACTCCAAAACCGTTATCGATGGCGAATTCCGGCGCATGAAAAATATCAGGGAGATTAGGCTAAGCGATGATATCAAGGCTTTTGTAAACAATGCGCATTCCTTATTTGAGTTAAAGGGCGCTTCAAATCACCGAGGCCCCTGCAAGAGATCTCTCATCCACTACGTGGCCGTGGGAGATTGCCCTGAGCTTCTTCGGTGTCTCCTAAGAACTGGTGCTGCGAAAGACGTTCGCGACCAGAACAAGCATACACCCCTCTCCTGGGCTGCAGAATATGGTGCCTTAGATTCTGTGAAGATTCTTTTGGAATACGGAGCGAAGATCAATTCCATGGATGATATGTATTCCACCCCTTTGTCATGGTCAATTCATGTGAGTCCACCTACAGACCAAGCAAAAGCAACTGAAGTCTACCTGGGGAAGAACGGCGCGAAAGAGAAAGGCGCTAAGCGGTGTTGGATCTTGAGAAAGATTAGAATGTTTTGATAGACTTTGTATGTAGATCCAGTGGCTGTGATCTGCTATAAGACTACTCTTACTCCAGGCCAAAAGACACAGTCATTTGTGATTACATGAGTTGGCTTACCTGTAATTCTCAAAGTTTATTTTGATGTCAGGGCTAGTTGGAACTTCAACTTCTTTTTCCCTCCCCTAGGGAGCCTTAGGGAGATGCGTAGATCCTTTTCGATCCTTTCCAATATTTGAGGGCATCGGAGACGGTGTCGAGAACACATCCGGAGTTAATGGAGAGATCTTCTATCTATGTTAAATTGTCGAACCGGCCTCAGACCTCAATCAGCAAAAATAGAATTCCAACGCTGAATTCACTCGATAAGACTCCTTAAGCATTCCGGCAGAGCCCCTTATGTAAGAATGAGCGGAATACGGCAAAGCCGTCGCGCTGTGATGTATTACCAAAAGTCTTTCTCTGGTCACAGAGGGATTTTGCTTGATAAGGGTTGCCTGATATTGAACCGTTAAATACACTGCAGTCAGGTCTATTGTAGTGAAAAACGTGGAATTGGCACTGCTTAGAATCTATGAATTTGTCTGAAATGACAGCTGGTCCTGACGAGACTGCATGAACTCTGACTGAAACCCTATACGTCGATGATGTTCGACTACCCAGTATCAGATTCTTCTTTTTGTTGAATGTGGTTGCTCTCCATCATCAGTGTCGCCAGGAGCGAAGTCAAACCGTCGTTTCCCTGTATAAACATCATATTTGGATATGTAATCCTCCAAAGCAGCCTTGCTAATGCCGCCTGCCTTGGTCTCCAGCTCGCCCGGTTTTGATTTTGCGCCAACAAAGAGCAATCGCGTCTGTTGAACCTCAGAGAGTAAATCTGCCATGATTAGAGAGATGACCTTTTCTTGATCGATGATGAGGAAATAATGGGCACGGGCGAGGTCGTTTAGGACGAGTCGCATTTCCATTTCTGAGTCGGCAAAAAACTTGTAGTACTCCCTTGAGTTGAACAGGTAGAAGACTACGACATTCGTGACATCTGACTGATACCACAATGGTAGTATCTCATGAATGGCGCTTCGATGGAGTGATATTAGGACTTTCTGAGACACTGGGGCTTTGCTATACTCATCTTCAAAACCTGCAGCTAAAGGTACGGACTGCTGTACACCATCCATAATCTGAGTAGAGGGCCCTGGCTCTGGGTGCAGTTCAAGGTCTATTGGACTTGTCGCTATGGAATCACTGTTTTCAATGGAGTCGGTATGAACATCTGTATTATCTGTCAACGCTTGCGGTTCTTCTGGTAGCAAGGCCCCAGACGTTATGGCTCCTTCCGGAGCTTCTTCAGCAAATGAGAGTTGGTTGGAGGCTCCGGAGGCGTCATGATTCAAGAGAGATCCAAGATGTTGTCGGCCGAAAAAACAGCAGAAGATGTCTCTTATGACGGCAAATGAGCTCGGATAAAGGAAAATCTCTCCCTCATCAGAAAACATATGTCGAAGAAAGAAGAACGACCGGTCACTTATGTACTCATTTTTGAGTGGTTGTCTGGCTCGGAAACTTGACTGTCGGCTATCCGTTTTCACAGAGAGCTCAGGGATTTTTTGATTTGACTGATGGGATCTGGGCCTGTCGCCGAAGATACGTAGAAACAGTTTTGACATATACAAGGTTTTCCGTGCAAGATCATTGTGAGAAGCACCTGTGAGTGTTTCGAAGGTATAATGAAAAGCCGGCAAAATCAAGTCGGCTGCAGTAGAAACTTTTCTTGGAATTGTAAAACCTAATCTGCTGGCTGACTTGACAAGCTCAGGCTCTCCCCGTAATTCAAACAAAGGCTGAACGTTCTTTACTTTTCTTGTTCTCCCCGTCTGAGGATTAATGAAATGTCAAAAGGCTGTCAGCCATAATTGTAGCAAGCTAACCGATGCTATGGCTCTTTCTGCTTCATCTGGTGGCACTATACCGTTAATAGGGACAGTCTGGTACTAGCTGTCGGTCAATTGGATGTTGTAAGCCTCCGTACCTCCGTCCCAACAGTGTAGAGCCGTGCTATAAATTGATGTTTTAGGACCTACAGAAAATAGGTCCCTCATAGCCTTGGAGGGCCCGGAGAAGCATTTCGCATCATCAAAGAAGAGCGTCAGGGACAGGATCCTGCCAGGAATTTCAAGCAGGACCTGCAGTACCCTATCCCGCTCATCCGCATCAGAAATATCCGGGAAGAGCGTGCCGTCGTTCATTAGACATCATCTGAGAGCGTTCGAGCACATGCTGTCGCGCAAGGGTCCTTCCGGCGAAGCCCATACACATCAGATGGACGATCTCAGCGATACCGTCATAAGAGAACCGGCGCCGAAGTCGCAGGCTGCCAAGTAAGACTGGCACGAATGTCCCTTGGATTGGGGTAAGACTTCCATTTGACGAAATACTGCATAAGTTGGTCGAGCGCCAGTCCGACGCTCTGATCGATTTTGAAATGGGACGCTTACAAGTCGAAGATGATACGGTGCTGGGGCCTTCGTGCAGTGATGATGACGGTCAGGAGGTCAGGTCTGTCGAGGCCATGTATCCTCAGTTTGAACATCAGGAGGCCGAAGGGTAGGGAACCAGTATCGGTCTGAGGAAGGATAGTTCGCAGGAAGTGTGCTGGAAAATAATGTATCTAGATACTTGAGAATTAGCTTATTGCTTATGCTCGTTCTTCGGACAAATGGCATTTGGTTGCACAATGGACACTACCGCTCCACACCTGGGTAGTCCCTGCAGCTAAGTTTTTTAAGGTCTCCCCTTTGTGTTGCGGTTTATATCCTTAGGTTAATGCATCTGTGTGAACACTGAGGGATTTGTGGAATAGAACGGACACTTTCAGTTGTTAGTTGCAGAAGTCATCCTGTGGGAAGTCCCTGTGAAAAAGGAGAAGTTCCCCTAAGGAGGTGGGAAGTTCCCTCCCTGTTCGGAAATCGGGAATACTTTGGGATTCTCTGGTCTGATATTCCTATTGTCCACCCACCTGCTGTTTACTGGCCGTCATGCCATGCAGAACATGGCGGTTGGTTACATCCATGACTCTATCATTCTACAACTATAAATGGCACTGTGTAGATTTCGGAAACAGAAAGAAAATCAAGAGACGGAAAAGCATACTGTGTTAATGTGCTCTCTTCTTGAGGGTTGTGCTCCAATATACTTGAATAGAGCCCCGGCTCCAGCCCAGAAACTGGTCCGAAAATAATCTTGTCACCTCCGACCAAGGTCGTTGCTTGTCCCTCCTCAGTCTCAGTAGGAGCTCTGTTTCTTTGGATGACCACGGCATGCCCTTTCTGGAGCTGCCATGAGGCTTACTACTATCGGACCGTTGAGTCAGGCGACTTGCTGGCCGCGCATCTCTGTTCCCAGTTGTCAGCGGATCAGGCCTAGGCATGTGATGTGGCAGGGCACCTTCCAACAGCCAAGGGAGGAATTGCAAATACTTGTCAAGCAGTAGAGACATGAAATGAGTGTGGAGCGCTGCAAACGAATTCCCCTCTGGAGTGGACGTATGAGGGCCTTGAACCTGTTTAGGCTGTTGTCCATCCGGTCGGCGCGGCTTTCGCTTGCGAGATTTAGACTGTCTACCACCGTGGGCGGGACCCGGAGGGTTACTGGAGGGAGGATTGCCGGCTACAACGCTGTGACGGTTGTGAGGGGAGCTGATAAACTAAGCATCTTTGTCCTGCCTCAGCATGACGGAGTCTTGCTGTTCAATTGCACTGGAGAAAAGGGGAGACGGGTCTGGATATGGACATATCATCTCCGAAGGCTTAGGATCGTCACCCAGAGAGAAGGGCTGACGTAGATCTCCCGCCTCCCACGGCTCATCATCAGCGAGAATTAAAGGGTCGATGGGAAGATCTTTTTCTCCACCTGGCACACCGTCAGCCACTCAGGCATTTGCCGGATTCGCCGGTCCACAGCTGGTGGAGTGGGACGGCTTCTCACAAGGCATCTCGGACATCAATGACATAGACGCCGGTTGGACGACATCCAGCAGAAAGGTGATGACATACGCATTCCGAGGTCCATGGGGTTGGATGCGCAAAATTCCTCAGCCAAAGACCTCCTGCGCTTCACCAGAGGTGGACGGAAAGACGTTTTCCGGCGGCCTCTGGGGTGAACCTGAATGCTCTCTCATGGCGTCATTGGCCAACGCTGAAGTACATCCTGCTGTTATCTTAACTCCGGGCGGACACCTACATCTCTTTGCCAGGCGTACGTTTGGTTCGCGAATAGGTCTGAATGTCAATGTTGGATAACCTTTAATCAGCCCATCCACTGCTTGACCGTTCTCGCTGTCCTAATTATTGTTGGAGTTTTCACAATCATAGGGTATTCAGGGTGAAGTGTTCTTGGTCATCGCGGTTATCTGGCGGCCTAGCTGACGGATCGGTGAGTTCTCAGCAATGGGTGTCAATTGCTTCAGCCCTCTAATATTCGCCTGCAGATGACAACAGACATAGCAACTTTATCCAGCAGGTGGTCCGTTAAGCTGGACTTAAATGAGACTAGAGGCGGCAGCGCCCCTATCATCTCTCCCGCCTGTACCTGTGTTTTGGTCTTCGGCCCCAAGGGTCCCGTGTCTGAGGCTCTCCATGCAACCTGCTTTACTTCCTGCATCCTCAGCTCTATAGCTTGCAGCTTCCTGGCCCTGAGAGTCTCCAATGGTCCTTTCTTTAATATGGATATTTTCAGTTCAATGTTCCCTTCCTGGGTTAAGTATGTGCTCCAGGACGCCTATTAAAGGTGACTGAGAGATACGCGCACATAAATAGTCACCAATTAATGGCGTCAACCGTGCACTGCTCTGGCGTGAAATCCGTGAGACCTTAATACTTTCTTCAGGCGAGCCCAGAGTTCTAGACTTTGGCAACTCTATTGCATGTTAGTATCATATAACCTGTCTCCAGAAATCATGCCTTACCTAGAACTTCCTGCTCAGTTGCAACTAGTTCAGAGTCTAAAGAAGTGGCAGGCTGCATTAAGAGGGACGCCTGCCCGTCCGACTGCTTCTGCAAGACATCCTCCACTATAACTGGTTTATGATGCACGGTTTTGCGGCTATCACCATCGCTTGTCTGGATTCATGCCGGCTCTAATGCAGCGGCTTGAAAGAGTTCAAAGTTAGTAAGGCTCTGAAACAGATCCACCGCAGGTCACACGTACCACCTACTGAAGGGGCGCTCAGGCTCCAGGATATATCCGTGGCAGTCTCATCGAGGAAGCCACAAGCCTGGTGCGTCTCTGGACCCTTCTCTGACTCCTTTGAACTGAGTTCTGCCAGAGCCATACCTTCTGTCCCAATGCCAGATTCACTGCGGACCCCGTTCGTACTTCCACCTGATAAGATGCTCAGACTCTAGGTGATCTCTGGAGCACCGCTCCGGGTTAGAGCGCTTGATGTCAAGGTACCTAGCTTAGATGGAAGGAGGCAAGTCCGAGGTGGAATGTATGCTGGAGTTGAAGGGACTCAATATGGCTTCTAATAAGAGGCAGTAATGGGTTTAGGCGGAGGGTATTGGTAGCAGAAGTTGATATTATTAAGGCTGATGGACATTGTTTAAACCAGTATTGAGAGATGCCAGTAAAGATAAGGAGATGATGAATGAAAGAATGGGCAGAGATGGGAAGGCAACGACTGTCAACGCTCGAATTTCTGGGTGAAGGATGGGGCTTTTATACCTAAAAGCACACCTTTCACGAAATAAGATAAATATACAGGCGCACCTCCCATAATCCGCAACTCAGTGGACCCGGAAATTAATTGGTCTGATCCTGCTTGGAGCCGTAATCCATCGTAGCCAAAAGGAGTGTGGAAATGATAGATAGTGCCTTAATACTTCACACACATAATCACAGGTTCAGTGTCAACGCAATCCAATCAGTAGGCGGGAGGTCCAACAAAGGAGTGGCCACGTAACCCACAAATCCAGGATTCGCCCGTCATATCGTTTCATTTACAAGTCAGCCTAGCGGACATTGGCGGAGATACAAACAGGCTTCACACCAGGTTGTGATGGGATTGCTCGTCACAACTCATCCTAGACATAACATTCCTCCTAATTAGGCGTATCCATCGCTTGCTTAAGGCAATCAGCAAGCACAGCCAATGAGCGATTAATTCTAGGCGCTGAGCTAGTTACGCAACTGGAATCTCCTAAACTCCATCACAGGCGAGATGCAGCCCCATTGAGGCATTTTTGCCATTAGTATTCATGATCTGGCTGAGTTCGCGGAGGCAACACTTATCGAGGCTGGATGGTCCAGAGGAAAGCACCATTAGCCAGCCGGACATGATGATCGACCGCCTAATGAGACCTTCTTGAGGCATTCTTCCTGGTCACACGGCACAGACCGTGTTGGGCCCTCCAGTAAGATCAGGAAATCAGACTGCGGACGCAGTCCATGGTCGCCTGGCGGTTTCACAGCTGCACGTCGACGGTGGGCAGACGGAGGCTGAGCGGTCCTTGTTGGGGGACGGTCATCTCCAAAGGGTGGAGGCCAGAGCAGGCTGGTCCGGTGCGCATGACGAGACTTCAGGGTGCTGAGGGACGGCGCTGCGAGGGAAGTAAAGGAAGTGAGAGGAGGTGGTCATTGAGCGACGCACCAGCGGCCTTATATAGTTCAGCGGACGAGGTGAAGGCGGGGATGGGCGGCAGTTCCCCGCGCGGTATAGCGCGGGAGGCTAAACCCGACTGGGTCAGCGCCAAACTGCATTAGGCAGCCACGGGACGGGCGCTAAACCGGAACAGGGGAGTTGCCGAAAACAGCCGCCCTCTGGTAAATGCGAATTGTATCTCTATAATAATATGATCTTTAGTAGTCTTTTTAGTAAATTTAGTTTTTATCTTAGTATTAGAGGGCCTAGTATCTCTACTAGACTAGCTAGTTATAGTATTAGAGGGCCTAATACCCCTACTAGACTAGCTAGCTATAGTATAGATCTAACTATAGTTAGAATTTAACCTTAGAATAATAAATACTATAAGGGCATGCCCTATAGATAAATCTAACTATAGTTAAATTTAGATTTAGAGAGTTAATATAGGATTATAACTCAGGAGCTTAACTAGTTTTAGAAAAATAATTATTTTATAAAATTCTAGAGAAAAAAGAAGAGAAGGTTTAATAGCCTATATATTTATTAGTATATAAGTATTTATAGTCTAGTACTATACCTTATATATATTTATATTTACTATTAAGTTACTATTCTTTATTTATATCTAGCTTTTATAACTTATAAGATAGTAAATATTAAAGAACTTACTTTATAATATTAATTTCTTTAATATTAAGGTATATAATATCTAATTAGTTAGTATATATTATATAATCCTACTTAGTATCTTTAGTACTTAGTTAGGCATACTAGTATATAGTATATAGTGTCACGGGCTAGAAGCCGATTCAACCTATAACCTAGGTTTGGACGGTAAGAAATCGCTAAGAGGTTCTAACTGGGGCCGCAGCGGCCGAACACGAAGAGGGGTGTGCGAGGGAGAAACGGGGTCA